GCATGAGAATATACTTCCCATCCCATCATTAAGTTAGACAGCCTGGCTGAGACTCCTTTGATTTGTCGTCCAAAATCTCTCCAGAGCAGCAGCTGGCGATGGCTTTTCCAAATAGCTCAGCGAGTTGGCTGCTACCCCTGTGCTTCCAAGCCCTCCTTTTCCACAGCTTTATCTGTTTGGCTGATTCGTTAATGAATCAATTAATTGATTGCCTTCCCACTGCCTTTGGGCGCCTCTGTCCTCTCTAAGCGACTCCACTCCTATTCTTTGACACAGGCAGGCCCGTTTCTCTCTGGATGCTTCTTCCCAAGGAACCTGAAAGCCAACAGAGAAGGTTCATTCACGGATAGCAAGATGGGGCGGTTCCCATCATGGGAGGGCAGCTTTTTTGGGGGAGGGGGGGAGAGTCAAAGGGAAGGCCTGTTAGAAGGAAGACCTGTTGGTTGATGCTATTTTCTCCCTTGCTTTGAAATGTCATAAGCTGGCTCCGTTGCATGTAAACTCTTTCTCCCTTTTCTGCTGGATGAGACCCAAGGTAGACTTTCTTCTGACTTCCCCATAAAAGTGCTGGACAGAGTTTATCTCCTTTATCTCGGGCTCCCAAACTCAAGAGAGACACGCTGTGGTTTTTTTCCCTAGCAGATGTCTATATTGTTCCTTGTCTTAGACAGAACCTCGCTAGACTAAAGCAGGCAACCTGTAGTAGTAGAAGAAGCGGAAGAATCTCAAGGTGGAGTTAAAAGAAAGATCAGCCTGGGATCTGTACATAGTCACAAGCAAACCATGTCCGACCCTTTTGAATCCCATTGACCCTTGTTAAATTCCTAGCAGGTGCTCCACCATGAACTGAGAAGAATCCTGTGCATAGGCCTTTTAGCAATGAATCAGTTGAATTGGAGAATATTTATAGCTCAGGGTTGAAATGAGGAGTCCTTGGTGCTCTCCGAGCTTGGTGGTTTTCTTGCAGACATTTCATTATCCAAACTAGGTAACATCATCAGTGCTAGCATCATTGAAGGATGAAGGGTCCGTTTATATAATGTATGTTGTTATTTGTGGTTTTTACTTGTGTGTAGTGTGCACTGTGGACAGTACTTAATTTACACAATGACAATAAAGATATTCTATTCTATTCTATTCTATTCTATTCTATTCTATTCTATTCTATTCTATTCTATTCTATTCAGGACCCCTCAACTGGATCTTCACATGTGGACCTGGCCTTTCATGCCTGACACTAACTACTATCCACATAAAGCATATACTCTGGGAACTCTTACGGAGGAGCCATCTTCACCCTCATTCTCACACACAAACTCAGGGCTGTTTTGCTCCTCCTGAATGCACTCCTTCCCTCCTAGGAATCCAGGCCACATTCCACCACTTCTGGCTAAGCTCTCCCCATGATGCTACTTGCTCTTTCTTCCTCCCACCCTCTTGACCATTCTCCCTTTCCCCTCCCAACAGTTTCTTCCTGTACCGATCGAAGTTTATCTCCGGACCTTCAGGACCCCATGCAGGACGATACAAAGGAGACAGACAATTCCACTTCCTCGGATAAAGAGACCACCAACAACGAAAATGAGGAGCAGAACTCTGGGACCAAAAGAAGAGGACCTCGGACCACTATCAAGGCCAAACAGCTGGAGACCCTCAAGGCAGCTTTTGCAGCCACCCCTAAACCCACCCGGCACATCCGGGAGCAGCTAGCTCAAGAGACGGGGCTCAACATGAGAGTCATCCAGGTAAGATCAAATATTTTGCTATCATGGAGTTTTGAAGGGGTCCAGTTGGAAAATGGCAAGACCATGCTTGGAGTACTGCATCCAATTCTGGTCATTGTGATCCCCCCACCCCCCCAAAAAACAACAACCCTGTTGAGATCCTAGAAAGAGTGCAGAGAACAGCAGCAAAGATGATTAGGGACCCTAGATGAAGGTTGTTGGAACTGGGAATGTCTAATGAGAAGAAGAACTAGGGGTGGTATGATAGTCCAATATTTGAGGGGCTGTCCAAGAAAAGAGGGGGTCAAGCACCTAGAAAGTAAGGAGATCCAGGCAGTTCATATGGATATAAACAATTATTGCAAGGTTAAACTCTCTACAAGAATCTGAACTACTAACAGTCAAAGCAATTTGTGCAGTAGATAAGGAATTCGCGCTGGGCTGGACTTAAATCTCTTGTGGGCACAAAGGGACTCATGACTGATGATGCATTTGACCCCTCCCTCGGGCTCAGCCTGGTCATCTTCTATGGGGGGGGGAATCATCCAAAAGACCTGAGGGCAGGACAAGAAGTAATGAGTAGAAGCTGAAATCCAACCTAGAATTGAGGAGAAATTTCCTGACAGTGAGAACAACTAACCAGTGGAACAGCTTGCCACTGTGGATGCTCCATCACTGGAGGTTTTCAAGAAGAGACTGGACAATCATTTGTCTGGGATGGTATAGGGCAGGGATGTCAAATTGTGGGCTGGACGCGTCACGAGGAAACTGCGCCCACCCCATTGCCGGCAATGGGGAAAAAGTTCCAATACATCGCGCGACGTCACATGACATCCCGAGTTTGACATGTCTGGTATAGGGTATGCTCCCTGAGCAGGGGGTTGGACTAGAAGACCTCCAAGGTCCCTTCCAAGTCTGTTATTCCGTATTCTCTTCTATTCTGAATGATTGTTTACCATACTTTTACCAAGAGCCCTGGTGGTGCAGTGGTCAGAATGCAGTATTGCAGGCTGACTCTGTCCACCGCCAGCAGTTCGATCCTGACTGGCTCAAGGGTGACTCAGCCTTCCATCCTACTGAGGTCGGTAAAATGAGGACCCAGATTGTTGGTGGGGCAAGATGCTGACTCTGTAAACTGCTTAGAGAGGGGCTATAAAGCAGTATATAAGCGGCATATAAGTCTAAGTGCTTACCAAACATCTGCAAGAAAACAGCCAAGCTCAGAGAGCAGCAAGGATCCCTCAGTTGGATCTTCCCATGAGGATCTGGTCTTTCACGCCTGACACAATCACCCCCATAAAGTATTTACTCTGTGAACTCTTAAGGAGGAGCCATCTAATAGATAATCTTTGGGGGTTTTTTTGGATTCTTTGTGGACATTTATCATACCCCCAGAGGTTTTCTGAGTATGGTTCTAAGGCCTTTTAGAATTAAGTCTTCTCCAGGTCCTTTCCAATTCTGCCTTTTTATCTACCAAAGTAGGGGCATACACTTCTACACCTTTTAGGTGATACTATCACTTCTCACCATGGACATCTGGAAAGAGTCTCCAGTCCTGAACCATCTCCAAGGACTTTTCTCCCCCCACCCCTTCCAGGAAAAGGAGAACCATCCTGAAATGTTGACAGTGACTTTGTCAAGCTGTGGACTTCTTTGGACTCCTTTCCAGAATGATTTTTTTTATTTTTACAGCCAGCCATCCTCCTTCTTCATTATTGTCTTCTAGGAAATATTCTGAGCGCCTAAACTTTTGCTGCTTTAATTAAGAATGGGATGTTAGGAAGTCAGCTTAACAAACACCAGAATTTGCAGGAGTGGCAGCCACCAGATCCCTTTTGGAATGGAGATTACTTTGACCAGATTTCTTCCCAATTTGCCCGCTGGCAAAGAGGAGGCAGGCCAGTCCTTCCATTTTCTAGGAATCTGCTAAAGAGAGAACTACAGGAGAGTTTTCAGATTCAAAGCAAATATGCTGCAAAAATTAGTCCTCGAGGGCTCGGAATGAGGTCTTCTCTGCCCTGAGTCTTCCAAAATAGATCAGCTTTTCCTTTTAACTAGTACCCTTCACAGGTGGGAAACGACAGTTTCCATCCAACATGGGGTGTCTGGTGGGGAAGATCTCCAGATCTTCCAGATTCTTGGGTTCCTGGTCCCTTAGGGAAGTTGCTATTTGTCTGAGGATCTTCTCAGCTCCATAGGCCAAGAAATCTGGTTGACTACCAACTCCAGTTATTCTTTTTTTTTTAAATCTTCTATCTTTTCAAAATTCTCTTCTTTTGCTTGGCACCTCAACATGGGCCTTCTTGGAGAAAACTTCCACCTGGATTTCCCTGTTTGCTTAGGTTTAAATTAACTATGGACTAGGCAGGGGCTTCCAAACTTGGCACATTTTGTGACTTCAATTCCCAGAATTCCCCAGCCTGCATGATTGGCTGAAGAATTCTGGGAGCTGAGGTCCACAGGTCTTAAAAGTGGCCCATTTTGGAGACCTCTGGACTAGCCCAGTGTCTTAGGATTCACATACACCCCCAAATTAGTTCCATAGGCTGGGTTTAGCCCCCCTGTAACTGATTTGTTGATGACTCAATGAATCTTGTGAACACACACCCCACTTTCTTAAATCATTAGCTAGTGTGGAACTAACCAGAGTGAAATTAATGTATGACTAGCAAAGGGGAGTGAGAGACCCGGCTGGTATATTAAGTATTTTTCGAATCTTCTCCTCCATTCGGGAAAAAAGAAATATCCTTTTTGAATGGCCTCCTCCACAGAGCTGCACCCTGGGTCTTTTCTGATGAATAATCTTCTGTCTGGGAGGATTACGGCCACATTCTCACCACGCACTTAACCCAGATCTTCAATTGATCCCTTTGCTGAGTTCCCCCGACCCCAACCACCAACTAACCCAATGGGAGGCATTGTCCAGTCCCTCCCAGTTGTCACCTCCTTTCCCTCCACCCAGGCATTCGAGATTAACCCAGCTTAGCTGGTTGCGTGAATACAACAATCTGCACGAAACAAGTGCAGTTGTGCTGATAGAAGGGAATCTTGGTAGCTCAGCGTTGAACGGTGGGGTCCTTGGTGCTCTCCGAGCGTGGATGTTTTCTTGCAGACGTTTCATGACCCAGCTTCATAACGTCATCAGTGCTAGGATGAAATGGGGTTTGTGGGGGGAGGAAGAGGAGGAAGAGAGGGAGGACTGTGGGGGTCCTTGGTGCGCTCTGAGCTTGGATGTTTTCTTGCAGACTTAATAACATCATCAGTGCTGCTAGGAGGAAATGGGGTTTACACAGAGGAGGAGGAGGAGGAGGAGGACTGTGGGGTCCTTGGTGCTCTCTGACCTTGGATGTTTTCTTGCAGACATTTTATTACCCAACTAGGTAACATCTTCAGTGCTAGGAGGAAATGGGGTTTACACAGAGGAGGAGGAGCAGGAGGAGGACTGTGGGGTCCTTGGTGCTCTCTGGCCTTGGATATTTTCTTGCAGACATTTTATTACCCAACTAGGTAACATCTTCAGTGCTAGGAGGAAATGGGGTTTATAGAGAGGAGCAGGAGCAGGAGGAGGACTGTGGGTCCTTGGTGCTCTCTGACCTTGGTGCTCTCTGACCTTGGATATTTTCTTGCAGACATTTTATTACCCAACTAGGTAACATCTTCAGTGCTAGGAGGAAATGGGGTTTATAGAGAGGAGCAGGAGCAGGAGGAGGACTGTGGGGTCCTTGGTGCTCTCTGGCCTTGGATATTTTCTTGCAGACATTTTATTACTCAACTAGGTAACATCTTCAGTGCTAGGAGCAAATGGGGTTTACAGAGAGGAGGAGCAGGAGCAGGAGCAGGAGGAGGAGGAGGAGGACTGTGGGGTCCTTGCTGCTCTCTGACCTTGGATATTTTCTTGCAGACTTAATAACATCATCAGTGCTGCTAGGAGGAAATGGGGTTTACACAGAGGAGGAGGAGGAGGAGGAGGAGGAGGAGGAGGAGGACTGTGGGGTCCTTGGTGCTCTCTGACCTTGGATATTTTCTTGCAGACATTTTATTACCCAGCTAGGTAACATCTTCAGTGCTAAGAACAAATGGGGTTTGCAGAGTGGAGGAGGAGGAGGAGCTTGGTTGTTTTCTTGCAGACGTTTCACTACCAAACTAGGCAACACCATCAGTGCACCCAGTTGCTTTCTAGAAGGATCCTTCTCATTTCCTCCCCTCCTTTTTCCAATTGCACCGCCTTCTCGGGATTAGCACCTGCCTTTTCCCTTCCTCCCATTTGGGGTGCAGCCCGGTCTTGGGGAATCTGGGATGGGTGTTGCATGTCCGCTGGGAGACCCTCCCCTTACCATCTCTCTCTCTGCCCCCCCCCGCCCCCCCAACAGGTTTGGTTCCAGAACCGGCGCTCCAAAGAGCGAAGGATGAAGCAGCTGAGCGCGCTGGGCGCCCGAAGACACGCGTTCTTCCGGAGCCCTCGGCGCATGCGCCCTCTGGGAGGCCGGCTGGATGAATCCGAGATGCTGGGCACGGCTCCTTACAGTTACTACGGAGGTAACCCGGTTTCTCCTCCTCCTCCTCCAAAAGGGAGTTTGTTGGGGTTTATTTTTGTCTGAATGTGCTGCTTCAAGGACGGGGTTCTTTTCTGGGGCTTGTTTTCTCTTGCACTGAAGACTCCCGGGTCGTGGGAAAAGGGTTAGTCTTTTGTTTCCAAGCCAAGGTCTTGGTTTAGACGGCGAGCGTTTGAGGGTTTGGGTCCTGGCTAGGTTGACCGCGTACTCCCATCGTGGTTTGTTGGGTAAGCCACAGTGGCTGGGCTCCCCAGCGTCGCAAAGCCCCTGGACTCCGTGTCAGGGATCCGGGTGGCGCGCCTGAGATGCTCGGCCTCAAGCAAGGGTGTGCACGTGTACGTGCACGTGAACCCAGCCTTTGGGGTTGAAGCATTCGGGCTCGAGACTTCACGGGAAGAGGGAGGCGGATTCTTTCTCATTTGCTCGCAAATAAAAAGAAAACAAAGGCTTCTTGGTCCGCCCGGAGGGGAGATTCCAAATCTGGAAAAATTAACCTTGATTAGGAAAGTTTTGCGATTGATGGAAAAGGCAGTGTTTTCCCGTGAGAGTTTTTTCCCCCATTTTTTCCTTTTGCGTTTTTGGCCTCTGTTCCTTCTCTTTTCCTTTTCTTTCTTTCTTTCTTTCTTTCTTTCTTTCTTTCTTTCTTTCTTTCTTTCTTTCTTTCTTTCTTTCTTTCTCTTTTTTCTTTCTTTTTCTTTCTTTTTTCCCTCCTTCCTTCCTTCCTTCCTTCCTTCCTTCCTTCCTTCCTTCCTGGTTTACTCTCTCTCTCTCTCTCTCTCTCTCTCTCTCTCTCTCTCTCTCTCTCTCTCTCTCCTTTCTTTCCACCTCTTTCAGATTGGGGTGTCTCCAATGACCCTTGGCTCTGACCCTACCTGTATGCCTGCCGCACCTTGTTTTTGTGGTTTTGTATTCAGTTGATCTCTGCAGGACACTCATCAGAATAGGCCTCCTACTCAGTTGCTCCGAATCTGAGTGTCAGCGTGTACAATTGGAGCACAAGGTTGCAAAATGGGGAACGGATTCCTTATGGCTTGGATAAGGAGTGAGGTTCCCGGAGTGGGAGGTGTCTTTCAGCTGATGGAGTGGGTTCCCCCCCCTTTTTTTGATAATGCATAATTGCATTATCAAATGCAATTTATATGGGGGGGGAGAGGGAGAGAGGGGGAAGAGAGAGAGGTATTTATTTTTAAATTGTGTGTGTTACAATTAATATGTGTACACAGCTATACCTCTAGTCTTGTGTTTCTGTGCTGTTGGGAGAGTAGGCAATATTTTTGGGGGCATGAGTGTGGTAATTTGTGATTATTGATAAAGTCAGTGTCAATTATTAGCTACCACAGAAGTTTTCTCCGGCACAATCGGTCCCCGAACTGATTCTTCAGGTTTTCCCACGGTGCCCCCATCCCCACGTGCATTCATCAGCTTCTCTTCACTTCCAGTTTCTCAAAATTCACAGTTTTCTCCAGAGAGTTTGGGTCTTCACGTAATGTGTCCTAAATAGAATAATTTAAACCTGGTCATTTGGGCCTCTGGCTTGATTTGTTCCATTGTCCATTTGTTTGTTTTCTTCACTGTCCACCCTGTTCTCAGGAATCTTTTCCAACTCCAAAATTCAAAGGCGTCAATGGTCTTCCTGTCCCGCTTCTTTTAAAGTCCCACTTTTCACTTTCATAAAGCGTCCAAATGTCAGGATTCTGATTTTTGTAGGTAGAGATACATCAGGGAATCTGAATGTCTTCACACGGCTATTCTACCATGTGCAGGTCTATTGCATATTTCTGGTTCCTTTCCTGTGGATGGTTAATCCTAAAAGTCAGGAATTCTCCACCACTTTCATAGCTTCAAGGATTCTAAGGCTGGACATGTCATTAGTTCGGTCTTCTTGATAGCTAATTTTATTCCCATTTTTTTTCCCCCACTGTGCTCCTTGACTTTTACCGCTAAAGTAGATTGGGTTTCTAGATCTGGATATTGCCCTTAAAAAGGTGGCATGGGTACATGTGCATAAGCGTGGTTATAGATGTCCACTAAAATGTATTTTCATCAGGTGATTATTTTGCAAAGCAATGCAGGGTAATAGGGCAGAAAGTTGCACATATTTTAAGCGTGAACTAAAAAACCTCGCTAGCATGGTCAGCTTTGTTCAAGGGCCTAGTAGTGAATGAGTAGACCTTGGTAGGTCTGTGTTTTCTGAACTGGATTTTGATTTTTGTCCCCTTGTGTGTGTTTTCACATGTGCATTTCCAAATGCAGAATCTATCCCGTTCTCTCTCTAATAGCCAATGCAATTTGCAGCAATTGTGCCAGCACATTCCTCCTGGTAGGGAGGGGAACCCCTTTCTCTTATCTACCCCTCCCCACACCTGCATCCCACACCCCCAGTGTGGGGGTCTGCCATTCAAGCCCCCACCTTTTAAGACCCAGCCCACAAAGCTGGGTTTTCAATGAATTTAGGGAAGATTGATCGGCAAAAGCGCCTTTGATGTATTTCCTTCCTGTGTGTGTTTTGTGTGGGGGGGGGGGGGTTGGGGGGAAATGGCGATTTTGTGGCTGTGTTCTTACAGGTTGATCAGGTCAGATCAAACCTGCTGAAATGGCCTAGCCAGCAAAGTTGTGGTATGGAATTCAGGAGCAGGAAAAAAAAAGGGTCTATAAGGAGCATTATTCCTTAGAATCAAAATAAAGGGGACAAAAATTAAAATCCTTTTGGAAAGCACAAATCCACCAAGCTCTACTCAGAAGTAAGTCCCGGAGAACCCCATGGGTGTCGCAGCTTCCCATTGGGTCCAACTGTTAGGAAAATGGGCCTTACTTAGTAGAGTCAGTAAGCAAAGGATTGGGTTTAAAGGCCCCAAATACATTGCCTCATAAGGCAGGTGGAGGAGGATAATGGGAGTTGTAGTCTGAAGCAACTCAGAGAGCACCCCATCGGAGGGTTATTTGGGGGGGGTGTCTTATCCTGGCTTGCTGTAGGGGATTTATCCACCCCAGGGGTCGAAATGGAGAATAAACCACATCGGTTGGGTCAGGGTCAGTTTCTCCAGCTGTGCATTAATACTGGGCTCATTCTGGGGTCTACATATCCGGGGATAAGCAGTGGGGGCTTCGTGAGGGACCTCCGAGCCTGGTTTTTTTTAAAAAAGCTCTGCTTTTTAATCCAATTTGTTCCACGCAAAAGCTCGTGATCTTTTGCGTCCCCCCCCACTTTCCAATCCCCCCCAGCCCTCCTCCAAATGTGGTGTGTGGGTGCAACTCAGTTCCTTTTTCTGGGGTGCAACCCAGTTCCTTTTTGTGGGCCGCACATCAATTCTTTGTGGGGTGCCACTCAGTTCCTTTTTGTGGGGTGCAACAGATCCTTTTTCTGGGGTGCAAATTAATTCCTTTTCATGGGGTAGAACAGCTTCTTTTTGTGGGGTGCAACAGATCTTTTTTCTGGGCTGTAACTCGGTTCCTTTTTGTGGGGTGCAAATAAATTCTTGGTGGGGTGCAACTCCGTTCCTTTTGGGGGAGTTGCAATTCAGGGGAGCCTCTCCCATTACTCACCCCCTTTCTCTACTTTCTTCCCCCCCCCTTTCCCCCCTCTCTCCTTCCAGATTACCAAGGCGATTACTACGGCCCCGGGAGCAACTACGACTTTTTCTCGCACGGCCCCCCCTCGCAGGCACAGTCGCCGGCCGACTCCAGCTACATCCCGACCTCGGGGGCCGGCTCCACCCCGCTCGGGCCCCTGGACGCCCCCTTGGCTGGACATCACACCTCGGAGAACCAAAGGTACACGGATATGATCTCCCACTCCGACACGCCCAGCCCGGAACCGGGGCTGCCCGGCTCGCTGCACCCCATCCCGGGCGAGGTCTTCAGCGGGGGTCCCAGCCCC